TGCAGCTGGTTTAGAGCTGCTGCAGTTTCTTTGCTGCAGCAGGCTTAGAGCTGCTGCTGTTGCTGCAGCAGCCTTAGTGCTGCTGCTGTTGCTGCAGCAACCTTCGTGCTGCAGCTGCTGCTGCAGCAGCCTTAGAGCTGCTGGTCTTGCTGCAGCAGCATGATTTGTGTTTGCGGTGTCTTTGCTTCTTTTGCTGCCGACTTCTATTATTTAGTTGCAGTAGAATTTTTATTAATGTTTACTCATTACTTTTGTTTTGTTATTTTATATTGTTGCTGTTGTACAGTTTGTTGTTTGTTTATTTAATTCGTTCGCTGCTGCTGCAGTTTATTTGCTGCTGCAGTTTGTTTACTGCTGCAGTTTGCTGCTGCTGCAGTTTCTTTCCTGCTGCTGCCGTTCTGCAGCACAGCAGCAGCTTTTGTTTATTGTCTCTTTGGGGTTTATGCTGCTTCTGAGGAAGCAGCAGAAACAAAACAGAAGCAAAGAAATATATTAAATAACTGCTGCATGCAGCCCCGCTAGCAAGCTGTTGCTGAAGCGCTTCTGCTGCAGGCTACTTCGGAGAAACCTAGTTGTTGTTGCTGCTGCTTCTGTGGCTGTTGCTGCTGCTTCCATGGCTGCTGGTGGTGCTGCTGTAGCTGCTTCACCTGCATCTGCTGCTGCTGGTGTTGCTGCTGCACCTGTTGCTGCTGCTGCTGCTGTTGTATCGCCGCAGAATTGTTCTGCAGCAGCAGCACTCCAATTGTTTGTTTGGGTGATACATGTTTGCTGCTGCTCAGCTTCTAGGTTGCTGAGGCGTCAGCAGCAGCAACAACAACAGCAGCAGCAGGCGCTGCAGCACTGCGAGCAGCAGTAACAGCAGCAGCACTAGCAGTAGCAACGACAGCACCAGGCGCTGCAGCAACAGCAGCAGCAGCGCTGCTCTGAGCGAGCTTTTTGTGCAGTAAAGCAGCTGTTGCGCTGCTGTTGCTGCTGCTGCAGCTGCTGCTTCGAGATGTCCCTGCGTCCACTGCAGCAGAGCAGCAACGTGAGGAGACAGCGACAGAGACAGGTTATTGCGTAGGCTTCAAGAGCATTATCTGCTCGTCTCTCTTTTGTCTCCTTGTGTGTCTCCTGTTGTCTCTGCGTAGCAACGTGCTGCCTATACACCCCACAAGCAACGAGCTGCCTATTCACCCCACAAGCAACGAGCTGCCTATACACCCCAAAATGTCGCTGTCTCCCCCAGTGGGCGCCAAGGCGTACAGACGGGGCAGTGGTTATCTGCTTGTTGTCTCTTTATGCTTGTTTATCTTCCTGCTGTCTCTTTTCTTATTTATTTAATAAATAAACAAAGAGACAATTTATTTATGTACATATATATATATATATCTAGGTTTATTCATATGCCTAGTGTCTCTCTTTATGTTTATTTATCTAACAGCTGCCTCTTTATTAAATGGTTCTATTTAATAAATAAATAAGGAGACAAATTATATATTTATCTGCGCGGTGTCTCTCTTTATGTTTATTTGCCTTTCTGTTTTCTTTATGTTTATTAATCATCCTCGTACACTTGCTGCTGTCTTGCTGCTGTTTATTTTGCAGCCCCCAACTGTCTCCTTTTAACAGAAGAATGAGGAGACAGAAAAAGAGACAGGGCCCTGGAGCCACCGTGCTGCCCCAAGCAGCAGCAGCAGGTGTTGCTGCTGTTGCTGCTGCTGCTGCTGCTGCTGCTGCTGCTGCGGGTAACTATATATTGCACTTTGAGGCTTAGGGCCTCTAACAATATACAACCCTTAAAAAGCAGCAGCAGCAGCAAGAAGCGAGGCAGCACATGGGTGGTGTACGTACACCGGAAATCCAACAGCAGCAGCAGCTGCTGCTGCTGTTGCTGCTGTTGCTGCTGCTGCTTATACTGTGCGCACTTCGCACAGCAATGCATGCAGGGACACACACGGCCATAGTTCACCGTTGCTTCATCGCAAACTGCTGCTGCTGCTCATATTGTCGTTGCTGTTCCTTCTGCTTCTGCTGCTGCTGTTCATGCTGCTGTTGCTGCTGCTGCTGCTGATGCTGCTAAGGCACTGCAGCAGAAGCTCCGCAGGAATCAGGGGCACTCCATTTGGGCCCCTCTGCCTGCTGCAGAGAGACAGCCGATGGTTTCAAAGGCTGCTGCTGCTGCTGCTGTTGCTGCTGCTGTTGTTGGTGCTGCTGCTGTTGCTGTTGCTGCTGCTGGGACTGGCTGGCATTTGCCCCAAGTCCAGTGCTGCTGCCTTCTGCTGCTGCAGTCGCTGCTGTTGTTGCAGTTGGCGCTGCTGCTGCTGTTGTTGCTGCTGCTGCTGCTTCTGCCTGGCGCTGCAGTGTTACTGGCTGCAGCAATGCTGCGTCTCCAGAGAGGAGACACTTGAGGGCCTCTGCAGCAGCAAGCTTAGCATCTCTTCCTGCTCGCAGCTGCAGCAGCAGTTGCTGCTGCCGCAGCAGCAGCTGCTGCTGCTTCTGTCGCTGCTGCAACTCAGCAGCAACATCGCCTGCCGTGAGACCTTGGGCTTCCACAGTGCAGCTTGAGCCCCCATGCTTCTCCCCTTCATCTGCTGCTGCTGCTGCTGCTGCTGCTGCTGCTGCTGCTGCAGGTCCGGGGCCTTCGCTGATGTCCGCTTGCTTTGCCTCGCAGCCGAACGCCAGTGTAGTTTGCTGCTGCTGCTGCTGCTGCCTCTGCAGCTGCTGCAGCTGATCGAGCAGCTGCTGCTGCAGCTGCGTTGTGTCCCCTAGGGTTGCTGCCTGCCGCAGCGCTGCTGTTGCTGCTGCCAGCTCAGCAAGCGGTTGCTGCTGCATCTGCTGCTGCAGTTGCTGCTGCAACTGCAGCAAGTTCTTTGCGTCTGTTATTAGTCTGCTGCTGCTGCTGTCTCTGCTGCTGCTATCTACGCATGCAGACCCAAAGAGGCCCATGTTCGTTCTGCTGCTGCGGCCTCCTGCTGCTTCCGTCTCCGCTGTGCTGCTGCTGCTGCAGCAGATGCCTTGGGGGCCCCTTCCTGCTGCAGCAGAATCCCTTGCGTATCCTCCACAGCTTGTGCTGCTTGCTGCAGCCAACGCCTCGGGCTCTCGTGCTGCTGCTGCTTCTGCTGCTGCTGCATGCCTGGACACATCAGCAGCAGCAGGGGCTTCCTGCTGCTGCAGCCAGTTGCTGCTCCTCAATGCCTCTTCTGCTGCTGCAAGCAGCTGCTGCCTCTCTTCGGCTCCTTCCCCGCAACCTGTGTGGGGTGGCGCACCGTTAGCAGCAGCAGCAGCAGCAGCAGCAGTGCTGTGGGGTGGCGTTGCTGCAGTAGAGGAAGGAGAATCCGCTGGGCTTGCTGGTGCAGCAGCAGCAGCAGCAGCAGGAGGGACTAAGAGATCAGAAGAAGCCCCCAACTGCCGCATCTCCTGCTGCTTTGTTTTGCTGCTGCTGCTGCACGCTGCTGCCATTGCTCCTGCCATTGGCGACCGCAGCAGCTGCAACTGCTGCTGCTGCTGCTGCTGCTGCTGTTGCTGCTGCTGCTGTTTGTGGTGCAGCGCAGCAGCTGAATGAAAGAAGGCTAGAGAAGCTGAAGAGACATCTAATGCCTGCGCAACAAGTGAAGAGTTGTCTCTCGTCTCTCTTATTGCTGCTCCGAGGGCTTTGTCTAAGTCTTCCTCTACCCCTCCAATATTATCTCTTGCATCGCTCCCCCCTGCTGCTGCTGCTGCTGCTGCTGCTGCTGTTGCTGCTGTTGCTGAGGGAGGTGGGGAGCAAACGGAGCGGTCCTGCACGCCCTGCTGCTCTTGCTGCTGCAGCTGCTGGCGCAGAGTAGCAGCAGCAGCTGCTGCTGCTGCACCTCTAGAAGCAGCAGAGTCATCTTGAGCTGCTAGGCTGCAGCGCAGCGCAGCAACAGCAGCAGCAAATTCTGCAGCAGCAACAGCCGAGCAAGGTGCAGCAGCAGCCGCCGCAGCTGCAGCAGCAGCAGCTGCTGCTGCCTCCGATGCCTTGGAGTCATCTATACCGCTGCTGCTGCTTCTGCTGCTGCTGCTGCTGCGTGCTCTCTGCCGGAGGAGTTGTTGATGCTTCTCATGACTAAGGAGAGCCGTTGAGGGTTCGGTTTTGACTGCTGCTGCTGCTGCAGCCGCAGCAGCAGCAGCAGCTGCTGCTGCTGTAGATGGCCAGCGGTGTGTTTGCTGAGAGAGTGAAGTTGCTGCAGCATTGGCAGCACTCCCTGCTGCTGCTGCTGCTGCTGCTGAACTGGGTTCGTATGTCGCTTTGGGTGTAAGGATGGGGAACGTATGATGTGTGGGGTTGCCTGCAGCAGCAGCAGCAGCAGCAGCAGCAGTAGGAGCAGCAGCAGGAACGGGAGTATTATTTGTTGCAGCAGGAGCAAATGAACGAGCATATTGTTTCTTGTCTTCATATGCCTTGGGCTGTCTACGCAGCACCTGCTGCAGCAGCTCGCTGCGTGGCAGCTGCGCAGTAGAGCCGCTTGCTGCGCTGCGGAGCAGCAGACGCAGCTGAGCTTCTTTATTTGAGTCAACCCCTGCTTCTCCTGCTGCTAGTGCTGCTTCTGTTGCACCTGCTAGGAGTCTCTCTGCTTGGGTTGCAGGATGTGTCTCTCTTCTGCTTTCATCCTTTTGCCTCGTCTTTCGTTCAAACGTTAAGCGTACATTAATAGCTAAGGCTTTAGCTGTATGATAGCCGTATGTAGCAACCTTAAACCTCTTTTTTATCTGTCTCCTTTCTTCATAGAAAGACCCTATCCAGCTCTTCTGCGTCTTGTCAAAATATACGCCTTTCATCGGCCTTGTCTCTTCTCCCCACTCCTCATTAGATAGGCCTCCTTCAACACTAGGAGACACCCGCATGCATGCACTGCTGCTGCTGCTGTTGTTGTTGTTATTGTTGTTGCTGTTGCTGTTGTTGCTGCTGATGTTGCTACTGCTACTGCTGCTGCTGCTGCTGCTGCTGCTGCTGCTGCTGCTGGGAGGAGAAGCAGCAATTTCCTTGCAAGATGATATACACATCGAACCGATACGTGCAGAGGGAACTCCACAGCTGCTAATGCTGCTCACGCTGCTGCTGCAACTGCTGCTGCTGCTGCTGCTGCTGCTGTTGCTGCTGCAGCTGCTGCTGCTGCAGCACGGGTCTTTTGGAGATGCACACCCTGGAAGGGGGCCCCCTAGGGGGCCCCCTTCCGCAGCTCCAGGGACATCAAAGGCACCTAAAGAACGAGAACTCTCCTCCACAGGAGAAGGCTGCTGCTGCTGCTGCTGCTGCTGCTGCTGCTGCTGCTGCCTACAAGGCCCCTCTAAGCTGCCAGGGGCCCCCAGAGACATCAGAGTGCCTTCAGCTGATCCTACTGCAGCTTCGTTGCTGCTCAAGGAGACAGGTGTTGCTGCAGCACCAAAGTGAAATAAAGAGGGGCCCCCCGACTCCCCGGTGGGGGCCCCTAGGCCCTCGCCTGCGCCAGCTGCTGCTGCTGCTGCTGCTGCTGCTGCACGCTTCCTTGAAGAACCAGGGCCCTCTGCCTCGTCATAGTATGCAGGAGAGGGGCCCCCAGCTCGAGGTCTCGTGTTGCCGAGTCTCTTTGAGCGTGCTGCCTTATCTGCTGCAGCAAAGCTGTTTGCTGCTGCTGCTGAGTTGCTGCAGCAGCTGGGCACGCCCGCTGCTGCAGCAGCAGCAGCAGCAGCAACTGCAGCAGCAACAGCAGAAGCGCTCCTAACAACTGAAGGAGGCGCCAGGTGCTGCTGCTGCTCTCTTCGTTGTTTGCTGCTGAGAAGCCCCAGGGAGGCCCCTCCTGCTGCATTCCCTCCATCTTGTCTCTTCTTTATTCCGCAGTATGACGCAGCAGCAGCTGCTGCTGCTGCTGTTCCTGGTCCTGCTGCTGCTCCTGTTGCTGCTGCAGGGCTGCCTTGATAAAACCCTTTGGCTCGCTGTTGCTGCTGCTGCTGCTGTCTGCTGCTTCTGCTGCGCATGCCCCCAGCGCCTGAATCTGTGCTACCGTCAGACCCGACGCCTCCTTCATCTTCCGCTGCTGCTGCTGCTGCTTCTGCTGCTGCTGCTCGGAGGGCCCTGCTCTGCTGCACTGCACGGGTCCTTCTGCTGCAGCGCCGCAATCCCCACTGGGAGCCCCAGTCAGCAGCAGCGTCGTGGAGAGGAGGGGGGGCTGAAGGAGCAGCAGAGGGGCCCCCTTGCTGCTGCTCTGCTGCTGCTGCTGCTGCTGCTGCTCTGCTGCTGCAGCAGCCCATGCTGCCGCAGTGGCAGCAGTGTGGAGACACCTCGAAATCATCTAGAAGAGCCCCTGCTGCATCAACACAGAAATCTGTTGCATCCGCAAGGACGCCTCCTGGCTGCTGCTGCTGCTGCTGTTGTTCCTGCTGCTGCTGCTGCTGCTGATCAAGAGCATCGGGAGACACTTGTGGCCGTGAACCGCTTTGCTGCTGCGCTGCAGCAGAAGGGGCCTCTCCTGAAGCACCAGCAGCAGCAGCAGCTGCTGCAGCAGGAAGGAAGACAGAGTCCCCGTCACCACAGCTGTCTCCTCTGCCGCCTGCAGCGCTCCCATCTTCACCCTCTACAGGACGCTGCTGCTGCTGCTGCTGCTGCTGCTCTGCCGATCCGTTTGCTGCGATCCCTTCTGGAGACTCTGCAGGGGCTGCTGCTGCTGCTGCTGCTGCTGTTGCTGCTGCTGCTGCTGCCGCTGCTGCTGCTGTTTCTTCTTGGGTTGGTAGAGAAAATGTGTGGCTGCACTTTGGCGTAGCCGCATGGGGGTCCTTGCTGCTGCTGCTGCTGCTGCTGCTGCTGCTGCTGCTGAGGGGCCCCTCGAAAGTCAGCGAACCTCGGGGGGCCTCGTACATCGCAAGTTTGTCTTTAAGCTGCTGCAGCTGCTGCTGCTGCTGCTGCAGCACAAGGAATTCGTTATGTGCCTGCTGCAGCTGCAGCAGCAGGTGCGCTTCTTGCTGTTGGCTTTCCTGCTGCTGCTGCTGCCGCAGCAGAGTCAACTTCTCAGTTGTGTCTGCTGCAATTGCTGCTGCTGCTGCTGCTGCTGCAGTGGGTCCTTGCAGCAGCAGAGCAGCAAATATACAAACATAAGGAGACAGGGCCTCAGGCAACCCTACAAGCTCAGGGCATTGAAGCTTAGCTGCGACTTCAGACCAAGCAGAACCCCCACACTTCCTGCTGCTGCTGCTGCTGCTGCTGCTGCGGATGAGGGAGGCAGCGGACGCATCTGGGCTCGGTGCTGCCGGCTGGGGCGTTTCTCCAGCTGCAGCTGTTGCTGTTGCTGCTGCTGCTGCTGTTGCTGCTGCTGCTGCTGCTTCACCCTGCGGGATTCCATTTGCGGATATTTGATCAACAAGCATTTGCATTTGCTGCTGCTGCTGCTGCTGCTGCTGCAAGACCCCTGCTGGTTGGGTTGCTGCTGCTGCTGCTGCTGCTGCTGTTTCTTCAGGTGTCTCGAAGGCAGTTTCGCCTTCCTCAGGTGTATTTACATTTTCATTTTCCTGACACGGAGCCTGCTGCTGCTGCTGCTGCTGCTGTTGCTGCTGCTGCACGGCTGACTCTGGGCAGCTGCATGCATGGCTGCTGGGAAGCGGCGAAGCAGCAGCAGAATCCTTCTCTGGGGAAGCAGCAGAAGCCCTTTGGAGGTCTGCTTCTGCTGCTTCTGGTGCTGCTGCAGCTTGTGCTGCTGCTGCTGCTGCCTGGGCTATCGGTTCAGCTTTCACTGCTGCGCATGCAGGTGCTGTTTCTGCTGCTGCTGCTTCTTCTGCTGCTCCTGCTGCTGCTTCCTTCCCTACGGACTGCTTAGAGCCCATGTGGGGGAGTTGCTGCTGCTGCTGCTGCTGCTGCAGTCCAGCACAGGAGCTTCCTAAGATAACTTGAAGGTGATGAGCGTAGTTTGTTTCCGCTGCTCTGGCTGCTTGCTGTGCCTTCTCTGCGTCTGTCCCTGCTGCTGCTGCTGCTGCTGCTGCTGCTGCTGCTGCAGTGTCTCTTAGGTACCTCAGGAGGTCAACGAAGTAGGATTGCATCTGCAGCAGCAGCAGCGAGACTGGCAGTCTGCTGCTAATCTCCTGCCGCTGCATGCAGCTGCTGCAGGCCCTGACCCGCGGTGCCTCAGGACATACGGTGCTGCAGCAGCAGTTGCTGGTGCTGTTGCTGCTGCTGCTCGGAGGATAGGCGGCAGGGTTTGCTGCAGCAGCAGCAGCATCTGCTCTTCCAGGTTCTGTAGCACTGGCCGGTGCAGCAGCAGCAGCAGCAAGCGCTGCTGCTGCTGCTGCATGCACTCTAGCAACCGCCCAGGAGCAGCAAGCCTGGGTAATCTCTCCTGCTGCTCCTGCTGCTGCTGCTGCTGAGCTGCCGTTCGGGTGCAGCAGCCCAGCTGCCACAAGTGTGGGGTTTGCTGCAGCAGCAACAGCAGCAACAGCGGGGGGAGGAGCCGGAAGAGAAACATCTGCTGCTGCAGCATCAGGGTGCGGGCTTGCTGCGTCCAGCACAACGACAGTTGGCTCCTCTGGTGCTGCTGCTGCTGCACCTGCTGCGGCTGCTGCTGCTGCACCTGCTGCTGCTGCTGCTGCTGCACTTGGCCTTGTGTAGTCATGCGGGGGATCGCACGATCCCCACTGAGGCCTCTTCTGCACAGGGCCGCCAATGACAGCAGACTTCCGCTTCCGAAGTTCCTGCTGCTGCTGCTGCTGCTGCTGCTGCTGCTGCTGCTCTAGCTGTTGCTGCTGGTCCTGCTGTTGCTGTTCTTCCTGCTGTTGCTGCTGGTCCTGCTGTTGTTGTTCCTGAGCCTGCTGCTGCTGCTGCTGCCCATGTTGCTGCTGGTCTTGCTGTTGCTGCTCTTGCTGCTGCTGCTGCTGCGGATGGTCCTGCTGTTGCTGCAGCCCTTGCTCCTGCTGATCTGGTTGTTCGTCTACTTCCTCTTGTTGCTGCTGCTCTTGTTGTTCTTGCTGCTGCTGCTGCTGCGCGTCATGCTGCTGCTCGTCTTGCTGCTGCTGCTGCTGCTGCTGCTGTTGCTCACCCTGGTGCTGTTCCTGCTGCTCCTGCGAGGCCCCGTGTTGCTGCTGCTGCATGTCTTGCTGCTGCTGCTGCTGCTGCTGCTGCTGCGGGGTATAAGGAGAGGTTGCTCTGGTGCATGCAGCGTCATCGGGTGTGGGGCTGCAGCAGCTGCTGCTGTTGTTGCTGCAGGGGATCGACGCAGCTGCTGTAGACGCCTCTGATGGGCCTAATGCAGCAACAGCAGCATCAGCTTCTGCAGCAGAAGCCGCAACAGCAGCAGCAGCAGCTGCTGCTGCTGTTGCTGCTGCTGCTGCTCCCTCCCCACACTCAACAGCCTGATCTTTCTTTACAAGAGCACCTCCTCCCTCAAGGCTCTGACCCGTTGGCCCTGCATGGCGCGGCATCACTGCAGCAGCAGCAGCAGCAGCAGCAGCAGCAGCAGGGAGCTTCTTGCTGCTGAAGCAAATAAAGCTGTGCTTCTGCTGAGCACTGTTAGGTGGATCCCTTGTGCAAGGGAACTTAACTTGTTGTTGTTGCTGTTGCTGCTGCTGCTGCTGTTGCTGCTGCTGCTGCTATTGCAGCTAATGTTGATGTTGTTGCTGTTGTTGCTGCTGCTGCTGCAGCGGCGTGGGGGTGAGGTGCCTTCCCGACGGAATACGGATTAGAAAGAAGCAGCAGCAGCAGCAGCAGCTGCTGCTGCTGCATGCAAATGGTGCTTATAGAAGAAGCCTCCCAACAGGCCCCCACGTGCTGCTCCTTGTCTTCGTTGCAGTTGCAGCTGCTGCTGTTGCTGCAGCATCTGCTGCAGCTGCTGCTGCGATTAGAGTTGCTGCAGGTGTCTGCAGCACATCTCAAGAGGGCTCTCAGCTTGTTTAAGGGAGCAGCAGCAGCAGCAGCTAGCCCATCTGTTCTGTCGGGTGTCTATGCAGCAGCAGCTGCTGCTGCTGCAGCATCTGCTACTGCTGCTGCTGCTGCTGCTGAGCAAATAAAGCCCAAGGCAAATGCAGTTTCTCAGGTTTATAAATCCATAAGAAACTTTGCTGCCAGGGGGATAAGGACCTGCTGCTGCTGCTGCTGCTGCTGCTGCTGCTGCAGGTTAGGGTTTGAGGTGTACGTACACCTGAGGCGGCAGCGGCTGCGGTCTTACGCACGGCTGTCTCGGGCTTTGATTATAATGGGCTGTACTCGCACCTGTGCAGAAGCAAACAAACAAAGAAATTATTGTTTTAAATGAAAGAAGAGAAGGAGGCCCTGAGATACAAGTACACCTCAGCAGGAAGCTGCTGCTGCTGCTGCTGCTGCTGCTGCACGGCTGTCTCCGGCTGCCGCGGGGGGGGGTCTAGTAGCGAGGCCGTTCGTCCACAAGCACCAGCAGCAGCAGCAGCAGCAGCTGCTGCTGCTGCTGCTGCTACAGCAACAGCAGCAAAAACAACAGTGGCTGTTGCTGCAACAACAGCAATAGCAGCAGCAATTGTTTTACTTTTTGTCTTGCTATTTCAGCACAATTCGCTGGGCGCTGCATATGCTGCTGGGAGGAGCAGCAACAGCAGCAGCAGCAGCAGCAGCAGCAGCAGCAGCACGAGGAACAGCCGGTGTGGAGTAAGGCCTTCTGCTGCTGCTGCTGCTGCTTCTTCGGTGCTTGTCTTTTTAGTGGCTTAATCCCCCAAACAAATTGATAAAAATATAAAAGAGAATAAGCAAACTCTGTCTGCTGAGGTGTACGTACACCACATCCAGCTTTGCCGTCTTAGCCGCAGCCGTGCTGCTGCTGCTGCTGCTGCTGCTGTTGCAGCAGCATCATAGGGGTTCCTTCTTCCGGTTTTTTTCTTATTTTTGTTAAATGCAAGTTATTAAATGATTGTTTGATTTATTAATTATTAAATTTCGATTTATTTCCCCCAAAAGAAAGCAAGAGAAGAGCTGCACGTACACCGGGTGTATGTATGCTGCAGCTTGGGCGTGCAAGCAGCTCCTTCTCTTCTCTTTATGTAAAACAAACCCCACAGGGTAAATTAATTAATTTATTATTTATTTTAATTCTTTTTAACTCGAATAATGCAAAAGACAGACAACAAACATCCAGCGAAACCCCTGCACGAGCCCCAGGGCCTCCCCCCCATTACAAGGCCTGCTGCTGCATTCGCAGTCGCAGTAGCAGCAGCAGCAGCAGCAGCAGCAGCAGCAGCCGGAACTGTTGCCGCTGTAGCACAGCAGCAAAAAAAAGAATAATTTGTTTGTCAGTTGCATACAAACACATTTAGGGGTCTAACAACAGCTCCGCCCCCTCTTAATACCCCGTGCACGCAGTGTACGTGCAGCAGCAGCAGCAGCAGCAGCAGCAATTTAGTCTTCTAAAGAGAAATGCTGCAACAGCAGCAACACATTTCTTCTTCTGTTTTCTGTAAATAGTTCCTCGTCTACCTCTGCATGCTGCGCTGTCTATGCAGACATTAAATACAACTTACGCTTATCGGTGCATACAATATTAACTATGCTGCTATGTAAATAAACAAATTATATAAATATATATATATATATATATTCATACATATATATATACTTATTTATTTGCGGTATACATGATAGATATTCATAAGATGCATACTTATAAATATACATATAATTATATATATATAATTATATATATAATTTACATATATAATTATATATACACAAAATAGATAATTAGATATACGCATATCAATTCATACAGCAAAAGCATATATATATATATATATATTGGGTGTAGTTATATTATAATTAAATTAAATGATAGTAAATTTATATATATTTGCATACGTATGAAAGATATATATACAATATACATCTATATAATAAATATATAATATATACTTATATATAACATAATTATATTTATTTATTTATTTATTTATTATTTATATTTTTATTAGAGCATTCTCTGCCGATTATCTGTGCCTCTTCTTTTCTGCGGACTGCGACAGTCTTACATCTACGACACATATATCTTTATCTTTATCTTTATCTTTATCTTTATCTTTATCTTTATCTTTATCTTTATCTTTATC